CAACGTCTGCTTCATCGCTGCATTCGATGTGTGGGCTGGTTGTACTTTTGTCAGCAACCCACCTAACATCCCCACTTCACCGAACTTGACACTCTCTCTCACGAATACGAGCCCAAGTGGTGCGCCCACTGCTTTCCATAGATCTACCACTCTCCTACACTAATAAGGGTCTTCAACTTGACATTCACTATCTCCTACCGCTTTTGACTCAGCTTTCGGCTGCCTCCCACTTGGCAAGCACCCACCTCACTTGTGTCTTCACAACTAGGTGAGAGTCCTCAAACTGAAGAATTCTTCTTACCGCCACATCACAGACCCACGCAATACTGTGTTGGGCTCCTCATTCACTGAGTAATCACATCCCCGCCTCACCAGACACTCCGATTGCTCAGTTGGACGGCTTCCGTAAACACCGGATTCTCTTCAGTGAGGTGTCATGTGCTCCAGACTAATGCCTCCATCACGTCAACCACATCCACTCTCTCGCCTCATCCAGAAGAATGAAGTCTTGACGGGCTTTCACAATGACCAGAAATGCAAAGCCTCCTTAATCAAATATGGTCGACAGACTGATATCCACCCCTTCACCTCCGATGACAACATGAGATATCCGATTCTGAGGATGCCTTAACTACGAACAACAGGGAAGCTTTGTGACACTGTGGTAAAGATCAAATCATGGAGGACAACAGAATCACTGTTCCCTATTACACATGTCAATAAAACCGTCGTTTCACCACTTTTCCATTTCTAGCAATTTATCCTAGGGAATCAACAACCATCACTAGATGGGAGCACCGATCTACTGACCTGTTGGCAGTAGTCACTCCGTCCCACTCAGTCGTCTGCATCCGCACTGACGATGGCACGCGAGTGCTGTAAAGAGTGGCGATAACTCAATGAAACAGCCACAAGCACAACTTCACCCTTCCAGTCAAAAGGAGAACAATAAATTGTCACAACAGTTGTACATTCTCAGCTCGCGTTCAGTAAGTAGAAAGGAATCGAATTCACCAATTTGGTTGGTCCGCAATCATCACAAGTCGTAGTCAGCATTTCCGAGTCAATGTGACACCGACGCCGTTACGTGCAGATTGTAAGAGGCCTGCAAAAATGAAGCGATTCGGTGAGTGCCTCACTTCACCGATGCGAGGTCACCTACTTCACACTCGCACGCACCCACTTACTACCGAGGAGGCAAATTAGCTCGGGCATTTCCTGTCGCCATGTAAGCGAATGTAGCGAGCACTCAGAAGTTGGTCGCTTTCGTGGACATCCGTCTATTGTGTAGCTTCCTGAAACCTTCCAGGAGAACTTGCTCCTGAGTAGACGGGCCAACTTTCCCCTGCAAATAGGGTTGCAAGTACAAATGGAAGGGGAATGACAAATTAATTAACAAGGGTCTCTCTTACGACCACTAACGGTGTCACCAGAGTGCTGAGCTCAAGTGTCACATAATGAAGAAGAGAAGTGGCTGGAAAGGGACTTCTTCTACCAATTACTCACACACTCATCCACACAAAACCACGCTATCCCACAATCCATGACAAAATATCCTAGCTGGTTGCAGTCAGGGAAAAAGCGTTACACTGAGGAAAGAAAAATTGAACTTGCCTTCTCGTTGGACGTTTCCTTCTGACCGCTAAAGTGGAAGCAAAAAATTTCGTTTTTTTCTACAATTTAGGTGTCCTTTCCTACCTCAAAAGTCAGCACTAAAGTCATCCTCCACTGGCTCAACTTAAACAACTGCCTCCCAACACTACTTGCCAAGCTGTCATGACCTTTAAGCCCACTCTCACCCGTCCCACCACCTGAGTGCGCGCTGAACCACTTCCCTTCCCACGAAATCTATTAGAGCATTAAAAAATCGCCTACGTGTTTGCTGTAATTTTCTGTTCCATAGGTCAAAGGTGTCCTGCACCACCACAAATTTGCCCGCCGTCATGTCATTCAAATGTTGCACCAATTTTAAAATTTATTGATTTTCCATTCGATTTGAAATTCACCCCACCGATTGGGCATATCAACCCTTCGTTGAGTGGTTTAATTATTTATTTACAAATCAGAAAAATAATTAACAAATAAGTAAGTAAATCACATAAGATGTTAAAACTCCATTTTACTTCTTCCAAGATCCCGTCCTTGCCGTCCAATGCCCAACTTTTTCGGAACTAGGAAGGTATGGAAGGACCGGAAGCCTGGATCCGGTCCTCATCAAGGTGGGTGTACTGACACTAGGGGCTGGAAATCGAGTTTTACTGGAGTGCAAACTAGCACCACCGAACTTCGTCTCCAATATGTACTGGACGGTTGGAAATGCTGTGGTACCAATCCTAATCTCGACCGGATGCACCATCTTTAAGAGTAACGTCCATTCTCGATAATTATGAGGAAATGTGCGGTTCCACTGAGTGGTACAAAAAGAACGATGAAACACTTGGTGCCAGCGTCACCAATTGAGATGTTGGGCGAATGAGACTGAACAGGACGTGCTAAGAAATGGAAATGATCATAGCCACTAAGCATTTGGAACTCAACGATGAGGCAACCAGGATCATTGACCCCTAAAAACAGTCGTCGGTACTTATCCACGCAACTGCTAGCAAAATGACCCCCTCACGATAAGTTGTAGACTCAGCGTTGCAACAGGCTTGTTGGCAGTAGAAAAAAAGAAAAATGTCTTAAAAACAACCCTCCCCACTGATTGGATGAAGCATCTCTTAGCATTGAAGTGCTCTCTCCACGTCAAAATGTGTCTGTCCGTCAGTTCGTTTGTCTGCCTCTCACTTCTTATTTCCGTGTCCTTAACCCACATGTCGGTCTATCTGGTCATCTACATTCCCTCTGCTTACCCATTTGGAGGGGTTTACTCATCCACTTGACCGCCTGCCCTTCCGCCTACTTGTCCACTGTCCAAGTTGGTACTCTTCTGACGACGAATTTTGCCGCCACGTTCAATGCTGTTCCTAAGGCTTTACAAGTGGTGGCGAAGCATTGACCCACATTTCATTACTTAGCGGAAGAAGCGTGGTCTTCATTGAGCTGACAACTGATTCAATCACAGTCTTTGGAAACAATAACATTCTGGGAGCTTAAAGCTCGAAATCCACTTGAATCGCTTCCCACCCTCTCAAACCAGTTAGTTTTATACCAACGAGAGTTGATGGCCTACGTACATCCGAATAAAGCAACTACTGGATAGCCTGCTTTTATTCGTCAGGAACATTTGAAGTCGGAGGGCTCCTTCCTGAAGCTTACTCCCAGGATACTTGCAACATCTCACTCCACATGGAATTATGTAGGCTAGTATACTTTAAAAGCAGCGCAAATATTGGCCCTCAAGGAAGTATCCAAGGGCCAGGCTGCTGCAAAACAAACTGAGAGATCAGTCATGCGGGAAGGGTTGCTGATGTCGCAATTTGGTGCAATCAACTTCCCTCAATTCGCCCAACTAGTTGTTGCACACATCCACCCTCGTCAACCCAATAGCAACGGTCATAGAGGCAAAAAAGAGGAGGAGAGAGATGACGGTGGTAGTGATGCGACGATGAATGCCCATCGCAGTGAGAAGGCAGCCAAATTGAATGGATGGTGCAAGTTCACACCTCCTGTGCAGTTGAACGGGATTCCTCACGTCTCACGTCCCCTCCATTAGGCGAAACATGCTTTGGGGGTGAAGACGGCTGGCTATGTGGGAAGGCTTGTCGAAACTCCACTAAAGTATGCACAATGGGGCAGATTTTAGGCTGTTTAAATTGCCTGATCCACACATCCACCCATACTGCTCAAGTCCGTAACCCACATGACGCAAAATTGACTGGCTCACGTTTGTGATCAAGAATAGGCTAGACTCGTCTGTTGGGAAGGAACTTCTCACCCTCGAACCATCGACTAGTAGACCATGATGCATGCCCACCCATTGGCTGGCCACACACCCACCTCGTCAAACACTCATCTTGCTCCATCCCTCTGTCTGCTTCGAGCTGCTGTCTGTACCGTAACATCCTCCACTCTTTTGTTCATTCCGAATGCTTAGCTCAGCACCTAAAATACAATTGTATCACCTTCCACCTCAAAGATGTTTCCAATGACATTCAGGAGACGGGAAAAATCAGCTCCTCTGACAGCTGTAAGGGTGGAATTCAACGACACTTTGACGAGATCTGTTGCAACACCACCTTCTACTTCTTCTTCTTCTTCTTCACCACGTCCCAGTAAAACGATCGAATAGCTGAAGTCTGCTAGCATTGTTTGGTAAGGGTGGATGATCCTCAACTGGTTTCCAACTGGCATGTTAGGGTAGCACCTGGGTCAGCCAGTCTGGAAGGGCAATGAGCCAGACTAGTGTGGAAGCGGGTTTGCTATCGATGTGTGAGAGGGCTGCAAAGCTGGTAATTAAGATGAAGTGCTTGGAACACCGTGACACCCAAAGTGTAGTTGAATCGCAGGAACCGAATGGACCGCGTATGTTTAAAGTCAGCGCAGTTCTGGCGCACAGCCTCCTCTTTCCTTGCCATTCTCACATCAGTAGTCACTGTGGTATTCAAGTGAATGGAAGGCATCCATAACTTCTAATAGTCCTGTCGGTAACAAACACCTGGAATTTCATCTGCTTTGGGTTATGCAGAGCTAGTTGACTCCACAGCGAGTATGGCTTGTATGCTAACCAATGCTCCAAAACTACTTCAGTCGTGGCTTTCTTTGGGGAAACAAACATATACGAGTTAGCGCTTTCTCTGCTGACTCCCTCAGCGACGCCTGGAAGATTGTGTAGTCACCAAAGTGTTCAAATGAGGGAAGGCGCTAAGTGAGGTGATGTGATCGTGAAGGCATCTCGACTACTCATCCCCAAGTTGTCCAGGTTGTGCGAGAAGGAACTCACCCGCCTACTCGCAGTTCAAAAATCATCTAATGCGCCTCGACGTAGACCACAACACTGTTCGTACCATTTCCTGATGCTACTAGGACAGAATAAGTAGGTCAAGAAAATCTAGCAAAAAGTTGCCCAAACCCCAAAACAAGCCTCTGCTGCATAGAGACAATGGTCAGATTTCGGTGAAATCACTAGCAATCTGGTAAATATTTTAGCATATTTTGACTGCAGTAGCGTATTCGAAGTTTTACGGGACTATGGAGTCCGTTCTAACTTAACTTTTCCATAATGTGTAAGTCTCCCTTGTGAAAATTAGTGCGCCCACCTTGAGCGGTTTTACTGAGATCTACTAATGTCTCTCTTCTTCAGCACTCAAATCCAGATCCGCTTTGTAATGCGACTGATCTGAATCTACGTGAATGCGCCTACAAATTCGTGGAATCCTGCAAAGAAGTTGCCGTACCTGAGCCACTACCTTGGTAAAGCTGGGTCCAGTTAACTGATTGGCCAAGTTGCAGCCAATCAGAGGTCTGATTGTCTGCCTATGTGCATGACTAGTTTGTCCCATCTTTGGGCCTGTGAGCACGCCAAACAAGCCTATTTCCAATGTGTCAAAGTGTCCCTCAACATGGGCTTAGGCTTGGCGAGACTCCATTCCTAATTGGCGAGTTATTTTTAACCAGCCGTCCACCTGAAATGTCGCTTGTCAGCTGATATCCTCGATTTGCGGTTGGTCTCGAGTGGACGGATTTGTCGGTAAGGTCTTCCTTTTGCTTTATAAATGCACGTGTTAGAAATATTGGAATAATCCAACGGCAAACTTCCCACCTTGGTGGAATAAGCACCCTCAAAGTTCTTATTTCGGTCGGTTGTAGGAAGTTAAATCCGCCTCAAAACAGATGCATCAATCCACCCACCCATCTAATAAATAGGGAGTTAAAGTATCGACGATAAAGCTCAAAGCAATGAATTGGTGCATTAAAAGCTTCGTAAGTTCATATGGAATGCTTAAAGAAGTAGGGGGCGTTGAGCACTCCCCCGACTATTTGTCCGGTAGTTTCAGTTGTCATCCTGTACAGACACTAAAATTGGCTGTCGCATCGTCAACGCATGACCTTAAAAAACTTCAAGCTAGAGACGCTCAACACTTCCAGAATGAAATGTCTTAATTGCGGTGGCGCGACGAATGCCATAAGGTCTTGGTGACAGCGATTGGCTAGTGTGATTCTTGCAACAGCGACATCAGCCATTTCACTTGGCCGATGGTAGAGAGTAATACAATTACTATCCCTCTTCATTAAAATGGTAACATTCATTCAGTGACCCATTTAGATAACCTGAAAGAACGTAAACTTTTTAAAAGTGTTGTAAATACGTTGACTGTTTGTTTAATTCGCTGTCTTGGTAAAGGGGCCACTTAGGTGCTCCTCCGTTGTATCCTCGAGAGGTGGGCTGACCTCAGAGCCAAGCCAGTAGCCCAAGCACTTCTTTAGCACTTGTGCTGCTTTCATGTTCCTTTCAGAGTGGAGGTGGGCATATGAGTCAAACCTCGTGACGGAGGCGTCAACGCCGAGTAACCCGGAGAGAGCTTCCGCGTCCACACCTCTCTGAACTTGTATTTGTTTTCCCCCATCTACATGCCCGAATAAACAAGTCGGAGTCGAATCAACCCGGTTGTTCTAAGGGTATGAGGACTAGAGAAGAGGACGTCTACGAGTCACGCCTTGCACTTCCCTGTAGGGTACGTATATTGTGCTCGAGTGTTGTATCCTCCTTCGTCTTCAGTGTGAATCAGCTCAGTAACAGGAAAAGAGAAGCGCTTGGGAGACGCAGAGGAAAGCTTCTCATGAGAGGCCTTTTACAGTGCAAAGAAGGACGAATGATCAGACGTGAGTGATTTTATATTCGTTTCTTAACTGTGTATGTAGAGTCCCGAAACTTCCGTGAGGACGAAAGAAGCCATAATACTAGGGCAGAATATATAAATTTAGCACACAGAAGGCACTAGGGCTACTGATATGGCCCGAAGGTCAGACCACACGGCGTGGTACAATGGCCAAGTCATAAGTGGCTCCACACTAATACGAAGAGTTAGGCAACCGTCGCATTACAGTGCATTTCCTGGCGTGGTTGCTACAAATTTAGGAAATAACCAGGTCGCTAAAATGCTAATAAACTAACTCAGTGCAATAAGTCGGAAGTTATTGGAGGTGAATGGGAAATTTGGGAATATGTCGGGTGGTTGGTCAAAAATGGGCCAGAAAAAAGCCATTTTTAGGAAGGATAGGAAAAATCCTAACGCCACCTATGAAAAACAGCGCAAGGACTGTTGAACTTTTTACTGCTGATCATTTTCAAATTACATTAAGAAACTTAAATTAATTTTTGAAGCAATGGGGCACAACACTTCGTTCTAACATTATCTTAATGAGACTTTTCACTGGAAATAATAAACAATGTCGTAAAACATAAACTAGCCGAAATAAGCAGTTATGAGGTACAATTCTTTAACTGAAACCCAATGTATTAGACTGTTTAAATGTTCCGGCGGATGGAGGGCTCGGCGACCCATATCTTTGAAAGCAGTTTCATTTGGGTTTTGCTGGGGCTTTTGCATTTGCGGCGTCAGCTATGGTGGAAAATCATACAAAAAATGTTAGATTAATCCGGGTAATAAACCATATCAACTACTAACTCGACATTGCCTCCAATATCTCAAGCTTCATATGGGCAGGTAGTTCTTCCTCCATATTTTGTTTTCGGTGTGGTTTCTGTTTCATTCTTCTAAGGTTTCAATTTTAGCGTGCATTCTGGATTGCTCAATGCTTTATTCTTATCGCATTTCATCAAGGACCGTCGGGAATTTCGTTTGTGTACAAGATCCATTGTGTTTTAGTTGGTCAAAGCAACCAAGCAGAGAAGTTTCAACTCTACAGGGCTTGAACTATCATCTGCGTCCTGCCAGGTTGCCATCAATACAACATTGGCTCCAGCCTCTGTTGCATACGATGAAGTACTGGAAATAGTTACATTTGAGTTCCCCAGTGACCTTCAGGTTGGCTGTGTGGCCATCTTGGTAGCGTACTTTGGCTTATTTAGTGTGGAAAAGGTCACCTGAGCCGGGTTCCTATCGCTGCACTAATATGGATAAAAGCAGCAAAGAATGCAACATTCTCGTCATTTAATTTGAGGCAAGTTCTGTACTTCTTAAAAACCTGTCCCTTGAGCAGCTCTAATAAAAGATGTTTTTTAGTCAGTTTTCACCCATCGAGCATTTCTTTACGTTGATAAACCGGATCATAAGGCAACTTTCGATGCCAGCATCGTTGCTCTTTACTACCAAGTTGCTTTGTCAAACACAGTAAGTCATCTATAGCCCTTCCGAGAAATTAGTCAATGACAACCTTTTTTGGAGATTCTCAGGGTTTAAAAGTCAACTTGGCTAGTCCATTCCCCTCTTTGGTAGTTTGAAGGAAATATTGAGATAATGTTTCATTTTGTGAAGACTCTTTTTCAATACACTGCGAAGTCAGAGGTGGTTTCGAGGAAGGGCCTTAGCAAAACATGCAAATAAGGCCTAAGCTCTTTCTTCCTAAACCGATTAGTCTGAACGTTGGTCATCATGATCCTGTTAGGTAAATGTCCGCTGTGTCTTCCCATGTGATAGCATGTGCCGTACCTTCGACAGGGCTGTGTGGGATCTGCTTACTGATTAAATATTGGAAAAAATATTCTTCGCCTGCTACTCGTGCTTCGTTGACGTTATTTCTTGGTTTGATAATTTCCTAACACCCTTTTCCGTTCCATTTGAGATGAGGCCGCAGAAACTCCATGAATTGAGTCATCCGTAGGTAGCTGACAAGTAGGCTTTAAAAGGTTTCGTACTGTCAGCTTCCCTGAACTATAAATGACTGAGGGGCTTGAAGTACAAACTGATGGCATGGGATTGGAACCGTGGTACACAACCGCTGTAGTTGTCGTAGTGTAGCAGATTAAGTGTTCGTCTGCGCCTTTTTTCGAGTGTCATCCTCAAACCCACCAGTTATTGTTGCATCTCTGTAACACCAGGCGTTGGGTGCGTTGAAGTCGTTGGCGCGCCTAATAGCTAGACGAGAAAGTATTGCAGTGCGATGATGAATTCGCATCATGGGGAAATTCAGTGATTTCATTTCTTGGTTGTGGTGGTGTGCCTTACGTGTGGATTTTGGTAGAATTCCTTACACCGCACTTTGTCTCTGTTTGATAAACTGTTTTGAAAAGAGAGTTTTCATCTTTCACATTTGGCAAACTGCAATTAGAGTCACTCTTTTTATTGGTACTCGTCGCGAAACGTTGTGAAGGGTGGGGGCGGAAAGGGAGTGGAAATCTGGTACTTCAATTGCTTTTCGTGGTGGTTAATTGAAATATCACCTGGG